TTAGGGTGCGCGATTATACGGCTTGAATAAACGAAACGAAACAAAACGCACACAGCGAGCGGAAAAGGAGGCGCGCGAGCGCTGTTTAAGTGTGTTTAAGAGTGTTTCGAGCATGCCGCCGGAGCACCGCCGTCGGCGTTAAGCCAACAAGTGCAACAAGTGGTTCGTGGGGCGGCGGCGGCGGAGACGATGTGTGCACGCGTACGCGCCCCCACGCAAAAGCCCAAACCCTTCACGGGATATCACAGAGAAAAAAATACAAACATGAAATCGAATCGGATGATGCCGGGCGTCCATCAATAGCCACATATCAATCTGTGCCGGTCTATTATCATCCGCTTGTCTTTCTATGGCATCGCATATCGGTGCCGCCCAGCGCACATTCATTTTCCGAGGAGCGCACGAAATATTAGACGCGCATCGTTAATTAGTAACGATATACGATGATGATGGCATGGCCGGCAGCAGCTCCGGGCCGGCCGGCGGGGAGCGTGCGGATGCGAAAACCACAACAAGCGATCGTCGCTGCTGCGGCTCACGCAGATTCTCATTACACGCTGTCGTTTTAATTGTTCTTGTTAATTAGCTCCGGATACACACGTCACAGCGCCCTTCTACGGATTGTCGGAGTATATCAAAATATTCTTTCGTGGTTAATTGAGGCACACGAAAATAAATATGGAATCTCAAAAAATTCCACAATTCCAAACCTCCTAGCAATCTGAGGTTATTAATTTAGAGTGATTATTAATTTAAAATAATGCCGCTATCGTTGTACCATAAAAAAGTTGAACATTTTTTTTTATCACAGAATGGCGACCGTTAGAGAAAAACATTCATTTTTGTACCACTTTTTTGTTTTCCGAATTTTTAAAAATAGTAAAAATTGAAATTTGACAATGGTGATAATTCATGTGATGTAGAAGTCAATAAAAAAGACTTCCACCAAATTTGAAGTAAATCGGTTGAGTAGAACTTAAGAAATCGTTTAAAAAAACAGTTTTGATATTTTTTAAGTTTCTAGACCAGAATACTCCTCTAAAATAATTATCAACTCAGTTTTGTTACTAAAATTCTCTGCACTTTGCTGAATTATATGTCAAACGATGAAGTAAACAATATTTTGATTAATACTGATAATGTGATTGTTCCATATATTTACATGAGAAAATTAATGCGTGTCGTTTACTACTGAATTGATTTTTGTCAAACAGCTTATAGATATAAGCAATAAAAGAAAATACTAGTGACGGTGTCTGATATATGCTGCCACACCGACACCTTTTTAATTGTTGTATTTTTCTGAACGCATCCAGACGGTGTCTTCCTTCTCTTAATTCTGGTTTCGTCCTTCTGGTCTTTATTCTGATCTGTCTTATGTTCCTTCTTCAGTTCTTTGTTCTTGTCTGATTTCTGCACGCTTTCGGTGCTCGACACGGTTACCGTTGATACAACAGACTGGTCACTGTCCACTTTCTTAACCACCTTCTTCGCCGCCTTGCGCTTTTTAGACTCTTTTAACATAACTTTCGATACCTCGGCCAGTACAGATTCTTCGCTTTGCATGGCATCCTTCAGTGGCTTAACATTCCCATGTTTTTTGTTGTATTCTTTGACATAGCCTAAAAACCCTTCCGTTTGTGATTTTGGTGCTGCTTTACCTCGGCCTCTGCGGGTGGTGGACTTGACTTTCTTGGGTGTGGATGCTGGTTTCGTCTTGCGTGCCGGCATGGTTAACGATTTTGAATGAATTTGTGTTTGAATTGATCGTAAGGAATGAAATATTTAAATCGATCGGGACGAGAATTTTTATGAGCAATTTGACGTGAAGCGTTGTTTAAACGAATGAAAAAAAAATTCACGGCATGCTCAGATTAATTATATAACAAAATCGTAATAGAAAATTCGACAAAACACATTTTCTCAACAATGCGTTTATTATTCAATAAAAAACAGTTTTTGTTTTCTAAAATTTTGTTTTCTAAAATCGAAATCAAGTAAGCATTTTAGTTAGCATTTTAAATGCGACAAGCATGAAAGAAATGAATTTATCCACAAAAAAATGTAATACAAAAAAGTGGTGCTTCTATAACTTCGTAGTTTTAGCGGCCTTGCATCCTTTCCTCTTACGCTGACTCTTAGCCCTCCTAGAATTTGCCGATCTCGTATGTTTGGACATTTTCGACGTTTTACACCTGAGACTCCTAGCCTGCTTATTGATTTTCCGCTTATCAGATGCACTCCATACGAATCCCTTGATTGCCGATTGCAACTGCGTCATATTAGATTGCATCACGGTCAATGTCTTCAAAAATTGTAATATTGCATTCCCCATTGTTACTGGTTTCGCAGGACGCGATTTTTTGTCATGTGAACGTTTTGTGGCCGGCATTTCGGAATAATTCAAGGAATTTATCACATAAAATTTAAGTAAGTAAAATTTGCACCCAAATTACCAAATTACTCGCTATACAATTTTGTTAGCCAATAAATGACAGTTAGCAGCTGTCAGAAACAAATAAATTATAATTTAACAAGCCGCCTATTAAATTATTGAGTGCCCCGTGTGTCAAACAATGACAGAAAGTTTTTAACATAAAAAAAATAACTTTCAGCGGTACTCAACACGTGGAGTTCGTTATATCACACCAAAACGGCGTAGGAGGCTTTGAAAAACTTAAACAAAAGTATTCATTTAACATTTAAGTGTAGCTTTACGAGCAGGTCATAATTTTGAAAAATACGCAATCAATGTCCCGCAATTTAAACTTACTTATGATTTATCGCAAACATTGTTACTTAATTAAGCAATAGTTGATCAAAAGTATAAGACGAAATAAGTGACCAACGTAGATGACAGGCATTAAGCCGTAATATAGAAAGACAGTAAAAAGAATGCAGCCGGCTCGTTATTCGGACTGCCCACATTCGTTATTTTTATGCTAAACAATAAATAAGCACTAACTAACAAGAACCATTTACGAGCAAACAATAAAAAATAATTGCTACTATCGTGGAAGTGATTGATTGTGCGGCCGTGCCTTCGATTTATCAGGGCGACAACGCAAATGGCCGCAATACATAATAAAGTAAATAATAATATTGTAAATAAATAATAATTGGTGGTTTTGAATCAATCGATATTGTCGATATTGTTTTGACGCTATGACAAATTGAGCGCTCCAGGCACGTTGCGCAAAGTGAATGTAACTGCCTCGAAGAATAGTCGATTATATCGTTTAAACGACGTGTCGTTGGGGCACACAATTACGAACGCCAGCACGCCGTTGATGAACAAGTGTGATAGATATTCGCGCAATAAGTCTCCGGATGAATTCAGCTCGTGCACGTTTTGGTTTCCAAGCGCAAATTTTAATTTTTCTTCGATTGTGTATTGTCACGTTCCCTTCCTTGCTTCCTTGCTTTTGTTTGCAGTTAAAACATTTTTGTTTCGATTGCAAATGTAAGAAGAATACGCTTTCCATAAATTCCGGCGAATACCGTTGCGTTACATTCATTGATCGACGACGAACGGTACAATATGATTTCGCATTCTTCGTGCCCATAATTAACTAGTTGTATTAATTAACGGGCAAACGACAAAACGAAAACAAAAATGCATTGTCACTACCTTTGTGTTCGTAATTTGTGCTTCGGCAAAGCAACAATTAAGCATCGCATCGACATAGAAAGATAGCGCAGGGTATAATTTGCGATAAAACATTCATTTTTCGGTCGACGTAGACGACACCGTTTGATGCAAAACACATCCTGACGAGTGAAGCTATTAGATACGCATGTGGACGCTTTTCCGCATTTTGCCGACAATAATTTGCGCCTGTTAATTGGTGTGAAAAAAACAATGTAAACGTGCAACTCGCAACAATTCATGACGAACGCATCGACACGTAGGCGCTCGTTGAGTAATTAGTAATGCAAACAATGACTTTCTACGCGTTAATTTGTTCGTTTAAAAAACGTTTATCTAGCCTTCGGGGCATTGTTTTTAGTTGGCGCTGGGTGAAAATGTGTTCGTCAACACAACCAGACCCTTAACATTTACGATATACGCGCGTAGGTAAAATTCAAACACATTTCACTGAATTTCGGTCGGTCTCAACACGAAAAGAGCTCTTGTACTAATATAGAATTTTAATGAGTACGCTCGCAAATTGTATGCACATCTACAAAGTGTTTGAAAGTCGCGCGCAGTGATCAAATATTTAATATTACAAAATTTCCGCCGACGAAATCGTCACCGGCGTTTTTCGGCGTGATGTTATTTTTTTCCGCTGCAAGCTGAAACGTTTAATTGTTCGTTAAAGCCGGCGCGCGAAAAGAATGAAGCGCGCGGTATGCGCGGCTGTGCATGAGTATGTAGAATATGAATATGGCTTTAAGGTAAGCACCGTCGGGACGCCGTCGGAGCCGTGCAGAAGCGCGCGCGGCGCGTAATTTATACGCTTTTATAATACGTTAGTTAGGTGCCACGCCAGTTTAGTGCCTGTTTCGGCGGGCGCGTTCGCCAAACGCGAGGAAAACACGACCCGGATGGCTCGCGTTTCCCATTTCCCTCCGCACTTCACACCAACATGGCCCTAGCCCTGGGAACTTGCTAAATCCGGACGATTTTCACAAAACTGCAACTGCAAGCTCCTCTGGAACTATCACACACATTCTGGACGATTCCAGAGACGGATCTTCTACCAACAATGTAAATATTATAAAAAAATGTGTGAAATTTCGATACGGACCTGTGTGATAAGCCTATGTAGTTCACGTTCGCCTTACTCGTTAGAAAAGTGAAGTTATTGCCCTTTAAATTTGTTTTCCTCTAACGATGCGACCCTCGTTTTTCAAGCGCCGAAAAAAAGCACAGCGCCGAAAAAGTTTATAATTTAGCGCGGCGGCATATTATGCGCAAAACGAGACGCGTCATTAAAACATTTCGAGCGGTAATTGCGCGCTGGGCGCTTTGATATTGTTTCGGTCGGACTTACCGAATGGGAATCTTCATCAGGTCGGAGAGGGATGGATTCTCGTCCTTGATCTGCGTTCCGTAGCCATCGCGATGCACGACGGCGAATTCACGATCGGTCTCTAGGCGATGGTTGGCGCGTTCGTTGCTGTCCAGCAGCATGTAATCGGTAAGATCGGAGAAATCATCATGCGGGGTTGTGGTGCGCCTTGTCGAGGTGTACGGCCGAGTGCGGACCTTTTCGAATGCACCGCCGGTGGCTGTACCGCCTCCGGCACCCGGATGATCACTCTGGAGGCTTTCTTTCGATGCATTTGTGCTGGAACTAGAAAAAAACGATAATTTCAAGAGTGGGATTGGTTTAATGACGGAACAATAAACTCATCCACGATTATTTCGCTCCGTATCGCAATTGTTAGTTAAATATGAATATGGTAGTTACATGTCGAACGCAAACAGTGCCCATTAACCATGAGGGCCGGGCGCGGCGCGGCACACAATACAAGAACACAACATTGCCGCGATTAGCCGTCGTCGGGCTGGTTGTAAACCGCTACATTACCGTAAACCTACCGACGCCCCGGCTGCAGGAAATTCCCGATTCGGGATTTATGCGAAATCACCGATAATATATACGTGTAATGTCACGCCGCGCACGATCCAACGCGCGCGCTTCCACAATTCCAGCAATTCCCGAGCCGCCGCCGCCGCCACAACGCGCGATTCTTACCTATTTGCTGGGAATTCGCTGCTGTGCCAAATTTACTAGCTGTCCGCAACTTGCAAACAATTTTCTCGCATGTGAACCTAACCAAACAAGCGGAATAATTGCTTGAAAATAGTTAAATCACCGCCGAAAAAGAATTCTGCGTCGGCGCACTAGCGCCGAAAACTTTACGGACTAAAAAGCTTTTCATTGTTTCAGTGTGTGCGTTGAAAGTTAAAGGTCGCAAGTCGTTCTGGTTGTTTCTTCGGCTTTAAACTTTGTTGCAAGCTGGCACGCGCCGCCAACCCCTAACAAACGTACCCACCTTTTACGCACGCGTTATTAATGTAAATTTATTTCGTGCGTCAACTATTTTTCGGTGTCGGCGCTCATCTCTCTTGTAAACGCCGCGTGCCGCTGACAGAAAATCGAATGTTAATTTGTTTTCATTTCAGCGTTTTTGTGAGCGCGCGCGGAAAAAAAATCATTGGCAAAAACAATGCTCGTCTGCCGTCGTCATTTTCGACGGTCGGAAATGTTCATTAAGCGTGCAGTCAAAACGTAAGCGCCTAATTAGTTGTACGCATTAACTCGAGAACTATACACGATGGTTACCATCGAGTGAGTGAGTCTGGTGATTTACATGCAAAACGGGAATAAATTCGGTGCGTTTACGGATGAGTTTCCTCGCGCAGCGTCTTCACGGCCGCTTATGTTAATACGTCTTGCATGCGCACGCTCGCGGATGCCTCGTATTATTGCGCCGCGATGAACGAGGCAAGAAACGAAGTTTACTGTCGAATTACGCGCGACCGACCTTAGTCGTATGCATAAATTTCAACTATTTCGACATTGTAAAATTTGAAAATTAAAATTCGTTCGTCAATGCTTTGCCTTACATTTTAACGGTAGCTAAACAGTGATTAAGCAGTAAATATTCGACAGGTGTCTCAGTTTATCAAGCGTGGAATGTTTTTCAAATTCGATACGATAACATACAACACGAAACACAAAAGCCATAAACATGCTGGTCGTATTATTGAACTTCTGTTTACGTATAATAAAACAATGAAAACATTAAATAATATCGCGGAATGCATTCAATTTTCGTTTATTTATGATTTTTTATTCGCATGTTGAATAATAATCGCTTATGAGTGTAAATAAAATATCGACAAATTACAGCGCAGGACCACAACCGATGTACACGATGTAAATTGCGAATAAAATATGAATAAAACGTTTTTGCTACCTACATATGAAAATTACACAACACTTTATATAGAAATAATAAAACAACAAGCAGCATTTTTTTACACAAAGCTAAGTACCGCGGCGCATGTAACAATGTACAATTTAAATTCCGCCGCGTTTTGCGCCGTTTCTTGCGTTTTTGAAGTGTCTTGGGAGATCCCAAGAGATTTTACTATTATTAATGCACATTAGGCAACAATTTGTTATTCAATTTTCCTTTCTTTGTGACGTATAGCGTGTTGCATTCGCGCGACGTGTCCGACCGCATTAAATATTCGACGAATATTTGAAATTCAATTCATGCGCCGAACGCATGCATATTCATTGTGATGATATTGGGTGTCGATGCGACTCGTAGAAACATTGATAATTATGTCGTTAACATTATGACCTCGATGTGTTTCGTTTCGGTTTTATTCATAATTTTCTGCTAGATAAAGTGTGAAATTGAAGTAATCTTCGAAAATGTGCATTACCTACTTACGGTTATTTCGAGCGATGAGGTTTACACGTAACTAATGAACAGGTCTGTCAGTTGATTGATAGTAGCGGAAAACACGACGTGTAATTAATATGCGATTAAAAGTAAAAACCACGAGGAAATAAAAATTAAAAAAACAGCAGCATTAATGCGAATATAGAAATCAAAAGTGCACGTCTTCGAGTCACTTTCCAATTAAATAATGCCAGCAATTAGAACAATGCAAGAAACCAGGAACACGACGGAAAAAAAATACAGCGAGCATTGATTAAGTGAAATGAATCGTTGCACCGTTACGGCATAAAATTAATGCTAATATCGGCATCGGTATTTTTTCTTGTGCGCGCGCTCAATAGTTATCATTAGTTCATTCATTCCACATCGTAGTGTTTACGTCGACTTTCGTTCACCGCATCTATTTCTATCAGGCAGTTTATGGAGCGTTTAGAGGCGTCCCCCGGCGGGGGAGGCGCGCGCTGAGAACAATTGTTATTCACTTGGACGTTCACCGCGAGTTATTGCGTTCCCTCGGCAACAATTAAAATGAATTTAAATAACGCCAGAAAAACGACGATTGTGCGCGTGTACTTTTTCGATTTCGATTCAAGAGCGCGCTGCGCTGCGCCGCCGGAGATGAGAAAAGCGCGAAGGCGGCCGAAGAGAGCGAATGGGTTTGCTGCAATGATTATGCGGCAGCCATTGTCACGGTTCGCGAATTCGCACGCCGAACGCAGCGCAAACAATGAGCAACGAATTAGTCCTCTGTTTCTGTTCGCTGCTTTTTACTTTTTTAGCGCGTAAGAACCAAAAGTTGTTAGGGAAAAGTGAATTGATGGTAATGTATGTGTTGCAAAATTTTCATGGTCATCTCACTGGTAAATACTCTCCACCTTGGAGGTGTCTTTCGTAACAACCACACGCAGTGAACAGTTACAGTTTGCTACTTCGCTTGCACTACTTGATATGCATTATTGTAATTCCCGAGGCGCGGAAGTGTTGTGCATCGAACGCATGCACGCAGGAAACGATCAAAAGAAAATCAAACGATTTCCTGGTATATAAATCATATCGGCTTACCTGTGAGTTTTCTGCAAGAACCTTTTCCGGAAGCTATTGTACGCTGATCCGGGCGCATCGTCCTCATCTGCATACTTGATCTTCCCATGTTGACTAGCAAGGTGTTTGCCGGTCATGCCCAGATCCATCTGTAGATCGAGCACCAGTAGCATGGTAAACAACACGGCGACTACGCACGCGAAGAAGATGAAACGCTCTTTGAGACGCATCGTTGGGCTGGTACAGTATACAGAAAATAATCGGCGTAGTGTAGGGCCGTTGGTCATCTCAATCCGGCTTGCGTCCGGATTTACCAGGGTGACTTCCAGACTTTTTGGTGATTCAACAGGGATTTCTTCAATTTCTTCCTTTGCTACCGGAATCGGCGCAGAGGGTTTTCCTTTGTCTATTGGTCCTCCGCTGAGAACTGGTCGTGGACCACCTGATGAAGGTGGTGGAACAGCTGGAGGAGAAGCAGCAGTTGTCGCTCGTTGATAAATCGGTATCGGCGGTGGGGAGTACTTCGTCTTCTTGAAATACTCGTTGATTGTTTTCGTCACAGTTGTGGTATCAACAAAATAAGCCTTTTTATCTTTGGTATTATCCTTTGGTGGGGCTTTGGGAGAGTCCTGATTTGTAATCGAGGTCTTTCTAAGTCTTGCTTGCGGACTAGAATCGCGAAGGTTGTCGGTGGAGCGGTTGCGTCTTAAACCACGCGCGGATTGCGAACGTTCAAAACTACGCTCGTTCAATTGCAGATTCGAGCTGGACAGATTCTTTCGAATACTGTTGCTACGTGCAAGCTCCTTATCGTCCTGCGACCGTTTGAAGGTAAACTTGCGTCCTAGTTTCGATGGTTTCGGACTAGGAGGTGCATCGCCTATTAAGCGTTCCTGCTCGACTTGCGGTTGACTCGTTGACTTTTTAAATGAGAACGCGCGAGTTAGACCGGAACTCTTGGGACTAGGTGGCGGTATTGCCGGCGGCGGTAACTCTTCAAACGTGCGGATGTTAAACTCGTCTTTCTTGCGCGATGAGAACTTGCGCAGAAGACCTTTGGATGGTTCTTTGGAGGGTGGTTCTTTACCAGTGTCAGAATCGACTTCAAAGTCTTTGAAATCCTTGGTGGAGTCGTAGCTGGAGCTAGAGACGTTGGATCTGCGATCTAGACTAGTACTACTGAGATTTTTCTTGAAATTAGCGAAACCCGATTGAATGCGTTGGGTGAGGGTTAAGCTGGGGCTGCAGTCGGTGGATCGACTGCCGGAAATGTACTTGCTTTTGGCGCGATTGCGCGGCTCGCGGATTTTCTTGATACCGCGGCGGACGTGGTCAAAGAACTTGCGTTCTTCTTCCTGCTCTGGTAGCAGAGCTTCGAGGTGTTCAAGGTTGACCGACTTGCGTCGTATAAACTCCTCGGCGACGGGATCAATTAAGTTCTCCTGACTTTTCTTAAGTATCCCGGGGAGTTTGCGCTTTTTCTTTCGCACGGGAGCTTGGGGCGGTTGTAGATCTTCAAAATCAACGCTATATTCAGGTGGGGTGGTTATAACGTCGTAGCGTTTGGTTTCTTTCAGTACAACAGTATGCGGGCTGGTGTTGAGGATGGTCTTGGTGACGGTTTTGATGACATTCGTGATAGGCCCGCGTGTTTGTGAATAGTTGCTGCCGTCCGATAGAGTACTATAAGTTTTCTTGCTCTTAGACGAGGACGGGATAGACGGTATCGAAGAGTAGTTAACTTGAGGAGGTGGAGATTCGAAGGCGGGCGGAAGACTGGGGTCGGAGGGCTGGGGGACTTCAAGGAACTGTACCTTCTTCTCGGAGTAGGGGCTCGGCGTGCGCTTGTTGAGAAAGCGCGTAAGCTTACCGACGAGAAACCCGTGATTCTCCTTGGTGAGTGTGCGCTGGTCTTGACTCGGCTCGTGCGGCGCCTCGTCGACCTGTATCAGCGGTAGCTCGAAGACTTTACTCAAGCGGCGTGGGTCGGGCGAGTATTGCTCCTGGATGTGATTCTCGGGCACGTAGATAGTTGGGGGACGCTGTGGGCTGGGAGTTAGACTGCGTCTTCGCGCCGGCGAGCCATCGACGCCAAGGGTCGGTTGCGGCTGACTCAGAAATTGATTGTGAGCCGGATGGTGTGCGTCGACGCCGTGCCGCTCGGGTGGTTCGGGCGGTTGTAGTTGCTGCTGCTGGCCGCTGGTGCTGTTGCCGGTTTCATTAAATAAACACGTCTGTGTGGATGCTGGCGGCGGCGGTAGCGGCGGTACAGGGCGTCTGTACTTGCGGGCTAGTAACTTAGAACTAAGAGGTGACCGTTGGACATCAACGACATTCGTTGAACGTTCAGTGGCCTCCCTTGATTGGAATGTATCGAATTGGGCCGCAGCGCTTTCTAGACATTGCAGCCCATCAACGTTGGGCTCCAGCCCTCGGTTAAGGGTCTCCGCTTAACACCGCAGGTGAAACCCCATTCTGCAACAGAAAGAAGACGCGTTCAAAATGAGAAACCGTGCATTTTCGAGTGGAAAAACACGAACGCAGTTAATATTTAGATTTACGGAAGTTATAAATTAATTAATTAGTCGACTAATAACGAGCTAATTGCCTATTAAGTGCGTCTGGTTCTTATCGCGCGGCTTGGTATTGGGACAAGTAAGCGAATAAACGACCAAAAACGAACGAAAAACCCGCGCTGCAGTCGCGTCGCGAATAGGGGACGCTTTTAACTTTCCGAAGCAGACATGAGAGGCGCGCGAGAAGTGGAAGATTAGACACCAACAGTGCTTGTGTTGTCGGCAATTAAAACTTAATTAATTTAATTGGATTTGCATAATTTTCACGTTCGCAAACAACATGCGCACGGCAGGAGAAAAAAATGCATAAATAATACTTAGCGGCCCATAACTGCTTCGGTGCGGTGCGCTTTTTTCCATTGCGCCGATCATTTTTCATCGGCGACCAAAGTCGCCGGCTCTAATTTAATATTTTCGCGATGCGAGCTCGCCGAAATGTACAATTAATAGGCGCACGCTCGTGCTGCATTGAATGCAGTGCGCTCGATTGCATTCTTCCCGTTGAAATATCCCACAACAGTTCGACGTCGAATGGAAACCGAAAAACGCTATTTAATGAGCGCTATTATTCCGGCGTGGCGAAGGCGCCGCCGAATGCAAAAGCTCGTTGAGCCGGTCGCCCGCGTTGAACCCCGCATCCGCTTCGACGCTCGCGTTTTCTTTGCGTCGATGTGATTTTTTCCTCTCTTCGCCGGCCGGTTTTTACCACTATTATTATTCGACTCCGGCGTCCATCAGTCGCCGCGTGGAGCGGTCGTTGGAAGCGAACGCGAGCGCGCATTTCGACTAATTGAACAAGTCATTGAGATTAGGATCGATTAGCGTAATTAAAATCGAATTCGCCTCGGCACGTAATCCGCACAAAAGGAGCGCGTTTTATGTTCGGTGCGCTCGGTGCGCGCCCGAGAAGTACATTTCGGGCGGGCGTGCTGCTACAGCGGCTTGCGCGAAATTTCCCGCGTGCGAAACAAGCAATTGCGAGCGTAATTGCGGCGCAAATTTCGTTTCTGATGGCGCATCACGCTATACCTACAATAAGCCAGCGCACGCTAGAAATGATATCTTGTGATGGACAAGCGTTTCGGCAGCGTTTTGCTTTCGGCCAACACGCGGTATCGCCGGAATACTCAGCGCAACTTGTTTGATCCTTCGCTTTATTCTTTATTTAATGTCACCCGGACGTCTTTATTCGTTCCTTTTCATTCCGTGCTTGCACCGCTAATGCATATTTAACTCGCAGCGCGCCGAAGGTTTTTCCCGATTCAAGGTTGCGCGCTGTTAATCATTTCGTGGATTTCGTGCCGACCGAATTTTCGCCGTATACTCATTGTGTCGTCGCTGCCGCTGCCGCCGAGCAGTTATTCTTCGACGTGAAGAATGGGAGTTTTAAGTCCTCCGGAGGAGCGAAAGGAATGGCGCTTGTAAACCACAATGGACATTGCTTTTCATTAAACGCGAATTCCGAAGAGACTTGTCGGGAAAGCGAAGGAAAGCCGGACGCAGCTGAGCATGCAGTGCTGCATCCGAGATTCGCGTCGAAAGCCAAAAACCGCATGTAACTGAAGTAACACGATGCAGCTGGGCGACAATCGTCGGCCGCATAGTCCCCAACTAGAAGATCAACGCTTTGATGAATTTATAGCAATCGAAACGACAGAGTATGCATAACAAAACTATCACTTTCAACGCTTCATTCTTCTCTGCCTCTATGCATCAACTAGGTAATTAGCTCGACTCATTAATAGCCGCTTTTAATAATAAAAACTTTTCAATTTTTACATCATATTAAAATTAAGCTGTTGCGTGGTCGTGAGAAGAAATGCCACGGCCGTGGCCCATGCAAGAATATTATGCGCCCATGCGCCGGCGAGGAACAAAAGCAAAAAGTGGTTTTTAATTGTTTTCGATAATTACACGAAACGCAAGCGTAATTATTACGCTTTTATGCGGGATTATTGTACAATCCAGCGTTCCTGCGGCGGCGGCTGCCCACCGGAATGTACAATTTTGATGAGATTTCATTTACGCGTGTCGCGCTCATTTGCCAAATGAATGCGCGTCAAACGAATAAAGCGAAAAATTAAACGGAACGCTTTTTCGCTGGTTTTTGTGAATTAATAAACAGGGCGCCGAGCAAAAAATACAAAAAAAAAAAAAACAACGACGAGAAAAGAATACGGCGAATATAAGTTCGCTTGCCGGCTGCTGCGACGAAAGGTTAATTGAACCGAATCTATAATTAAGAAATTCAATAAACACGGCGACAGAGAAAAGACCGGAAGGCAGAGCAAACGCGCAAATGCTGAACATCGCTAATCATCGAACAACGAGCGACGCCGCTTTTTATTGTTGCGTTTAATTGCAAATGTTAATGAAAGGCTCGGGGATCTGATGATGTTCCAGATCAGAAAAAAAAAATGAACAGTCAAATGAATGAGCGGAGGTAAAATGTCCTAAACGAGTTCTTTTTCGCAGCACAACACTCGAAATTAATCCAGTCAACGAACCTCGCACGAATTATAAAATTACAACGAAAAGTTTGTTAGCTTGTTTGTACCGACGTGCCTTCTTGTTAAATTCTTAATTACACGTTTCACCATTTTTTTGTGCGTCTTGTTATCTCATTTACAATTAATTTACATTTATTTCCTGCGGGCATGCCGGACAAGCGCCAAATAGTGGCATTTTTTCTTAATTGAATCACACAACATTTGAGACAATTTGCTTCGCGTGCATAAAATGATTTTATCTCTGCATTTCCATGCAATATATTAAATTTAATTTCGAACGTGTACAGTTTGCACACTCTTCCGGAATTATGTGCGCGTTGCCGCTTATGCAATCGCAATCGCCGGGGTCAATCGATTTCTTCAAACGCCTTTTTTTCTTCTTCCAACTTGAGCACTCGTTTATTTTGCTAAATTAAGCGTTAACCTTAATCTCTCCTTCGCCGTGCGATGCGATGCAAATTATAATCCAGTCAGTTTATTACTGGCTTCGAACCAACATCAACTGCAATTGCAAACCGGGGTGTTTAATTTCATTGAAAGCATCTTCGAGCATACGATTGTTGCGAATAAATATCGCCGCACGCTGCGCAAATATTTGCGATTTCGGACGTCCGCCGGGAGCGGCAACAGCCACCAACCATCTTCAAATGCGACACGCGCAACAGACTGTAACTGTAACTTGGTGCGCGCGCGCGCACGACCAGCTTCTATTATGACGCCGTAATTAATTTCGTGCAATTAATCTTAATTAAAATTGGAACATGAGGCGCTAACGCACCGCGCGCTGCACACGTGAGCCAACCTTGCGGAAGGTGCGAAATTCATAATGTTATAATGTTATAATCGCTCGTATCTTCGGGCGGGTAAATGATGCATAAATTTCGTAATCATTTTAATGCCGCCGACTAATGAACTATTTTTAAAACATAATTAACGCAATGGAAAGTCGTCGTTTATTACTGATACAAAAAAAAAATCAAACTAATATTAGATTGGTTAGTTTTATTGTCTCTTTAATTATCCCGAGCGGGACTCTTTCACAACCGGCCCGCACATGTGTCCCGCTAAACGATTGTGGTCATTTTGGCAAAGAATCGCATTTCGCGGCCGCGATATTACACAAACTCGCGGCGCGCCCGGCGCTGGTTCTATTTAGAGACGAGTTATCAACACTTACTTCACCAAAGTTAAACATATGTTCGCACCGCATATGTAAAACCACATTGTTTTACTCGATTCGCTATTTTTAAAAGCTTTCTGGTCGAAATGGATAAATACATTAATAATTACGCCTGAGTTTCTCACATTTCCCCTCCGCCCTCACCGGCAAGTGCAGTTGGAAGCCAGACAACTGGGATCTGTTACATATTACATCTAACTGGTTAGCATGGCCTATTTTACAGGCATCTGACTCATCGCGCGCGGCTTTCATAACCATCTTTTCGCACAGCCGCCGAATAAACATATCATAACGAATGAACTAATCGAATCAATAACTAACACGCGAGAGAGGAAAATGTTAAATCTCGGATGAAACGAAGCGGGTTACTCAGAGACTTGTCGGATTGATGAAGATAACTTTTCAATCGTTCGTTCATTACATAAAACAGTTGGAATGCAGCGCGCGGGCGGCGCGCGCTCTACTGGCTCGGAAAGTGACAGACGACGGCGAAGACGCGCGGCGCGCACAATTAGCTTATTGTCCACTTCAATTTTTTTTCTCCTTCGGCGTAATGGGGAAATGATTGATGATGCGTTCCCGGCCGCGAGAGCTGAGAGCGCGGTAGCGATGTGAGCCTTATTTATTCATCGGCAGGCCATTGCTAATGGTGCAATCGTGTTCGATAAACACGTCAAACGCTTTGTGCATCTGCGTGACCGCTTTCGGCGGCTTTTGGATTCGCTCGCAGCAGTGAAGTGGTTTTTCCAGGATCGACACTAATCATCACGTCAGGCATATTTTCAAATATTGTTTTTTCTGATAAGAGCGATTTTGAAATGCAAATTTTCAGCAGGCGCGCGACAAATTTTTGAAGGCCAGCATACATACTGTCTCCTTTTCACAGTGCGAATATTTATATAAATAGTTATGTGCAAAGACGAATTATCCCGAAAGCGAGACGATACCTTTGACCCAAATACTTCTTAGCTCGGCTAAAAATATCGCCAACATTTTCACTTTTTCTTTCGCGGAACGCGCGCGCGCCGGAGTCGGACTTACGGCCCGAAGTCATGATTGATGATTGCCAATTAGCGCCGCCATTGTCGTGCACGTGCAAATCTTGTTGATACGATGCAAAGATGAATCGATAGGCCGAATAAACAATTACGCGTACATGATTACACAAATTGCAATCGATGGCGCGCGTGCGCAGAGCGTGGCGTGAGTAAAGGAGAGCGAAAAGTCGTAATGTTTGTGTTATTAATACAGCTATCGCCATCCGGCAACTATTATGCATTAATGTGCGCCGCAGGTCAACAGGAGCCTGCAGGATTGCCGGCATCACGACCGCCTCGCGCATTCATATTCAATCGCATCGAAACTAATTTCTGTACGTTACATATAAGCGAACGTAAACATTAAATTGTGGTTTTGTACAATTCGTCGAGCTGATACGGCGGTGATCGGCGATACGCATTACTGCAGCCGTGGCAGGCGCGCTGCTTTCAGGCTGGGTACGCAATGCTGAAAACCGGCGAATTTAGCGCACGGTTATTTTCATGTCGGATGCTTTTTGATCCCGCGCTCGAGCGCAAAACTATCGATGCAACAATGAACACGCCGCTTGTCACGCGGATTTGTTGGCTGGCGTACGTCTCAGACCAGTACTTAAAAATATTCACCATCCTGACAAAAAAAAATGACCACCACGAGAAGAAGAAAAAACAAAAACAACAAAACAATTTGTGTGTAATACAAATGATGTTAACTGAAAATTTCACCGCCGATGACATGTTGGCATGCATGTTTAAACAAATACCAGCCTGCATTTTCAATCGGCAGTGTACACAACCAACACATGTCCGCTGAAAAAGGTCTCATTATTGTTCGACCGGATTTGAATGATTGCCGATGTCATTCGTTTATTATTGAAAACGCAAATGTTTAAACATTCAAAGAGTTCAAATTGAATTGCGACAGCGCGCGGGTAAAACGCGCCTTTTTCAGGACTGAGGGCGCGTCATCATGTACTTACACTATATTATATTGACAGCGAACCGAATAAAAGTGTTGAATTACGAAATTACTCCAACATCCAACACAATTATTATGTGGAGAAAGTACACATATTTACATTGCGCACACAGAAAAATACGCCTAATTTTCCCTAATAGAATTGTTTTGCTTTTTTTGTAGGAATTGTCAACGTAATCAAGAATTAACTGGATTCGACAGGGAAATGCATCGCGTGAAGTATGAGTATGAGTATAGAAATTTCAAAAAAATACAAACTAATCGCAGGAACACTTATTCATCGCGGCGCTAATTCCACGTGCTAATAATCACGTTATGTTAATTACGTTTGAGCGAGCAAAACGGACGCGCGCACAGTGTAAAACATACATTCACTTGCGTCCACATGCGATACTGTTCTTCCTTTCTTTTAGCACGCGTGTTGAACATTTTTTACAGCCACAAATCGATTTTACTGATCAACATAGAAACAATTAATGTTACACTTTTGTAATGTTTAAAATAAAAAATAAAATAAAAACACTATGTTGGAGATTACGTACAAACAACGAGCACAATGGCGTAGTATCCATTTTTTTTATTTTTTTTTATCCCTATCACTTGTTATCAACTATTTTTAAATGAAAATCTAGACATAGATAAGTAGTTGGTACCTAAACCGTTTCAGAAGAATAACTTTTTAAATAAACATTTAAATAACGGTCCAAAAACCGTCCGAAACTATCGCCCGTTAGGTAAGTAACGCAACTAACACTTACATAAAACTATTTTTGATTCTCCATTGATATTTCTATATATTTTTCTATTTTAAACCTAAATATAAATATTTACAGTTGGTACCTGACCATATATTCCCATATAACCGTCCACACCTGATTTTTTTCATAAAACTGTAAGAAATACGCAAGAAAACATCAAAATATCATTAGTGTGTCCGCACGCCGGTGTGAATTGTAACAATTGCTGTAAACATTGCAATAATATGCCATTGCATAAAGTATCCCGACATAAAATTGTTACAACTGACCCAAGAGTCCCCCCTTCCCCGCGGCACATTGACTCTCGCTTGCTGGCTGTTTAGCCTGCTGGCGGCTGTGGCGCGTAATTCGCGATGGATTACGTCAATAAGGTTTACGGTTCCAATTTTAGTTCGCGATGTGATTTGGCCACGAGCGCCGTGCGACACTAATACGAATTAACCGATGAATGTATGTAGGTATTCAGCGAAGACAGCACTCGCATTCACGGCGCAGTTGAATGCGTGGGCGGGCATATTTTTAGTACACCTTCAAATTTGATCTTACGCATCCTCGCGTATTTTTACACACCTTCGCTCGCACTTTAGGTGATATTGCATAACAGCGTGGTGCTGTATTCGGTGAGGAAATCGCATTGGTGGCCGCCTGAATGAAATCGACGAGATCATCGTTAATTAAACGACCGCGAGGCTAATTCATGATTCAAGCGCGCGACACGTGAAAGTCTCGAATTATTTCGAGGTGTTTTAATTATTTCTAGTGGACAAGCGGTGGGAAATTAAATGCACTGGATGTCATTTACACCGAACTGGACGTAGTACTGGAATATAAATAGCCGGCGCGTGTTTTCATTGTATTCGATAGATTTCGTCTAGAATTTGATTCGTGGTGAGAATACATGTTTCATAAGACACCCGTCGATGTGTCGTGGTTTTATTTAATTTATTTACAAGTTCAACAAAAAGTTAGAGACAACATTTTCAATTTCCGCGGGTGTGTAATTTATCGATAGTTTCATAACTCCCGAAGCACTCAACCTATATTTAAAGTTGAACGCATCTTTGGCAAACGCAAATTTCCACTCCTTGAAATCACGGAAAGCGGCGTGCCATCGAACAACAAACAACAAACGAAATCTAGTCCATGCACACACGCCGTTAAGTGCAAGTGTGCATCAAGAGCGTTTAAATATAAGTCGGCCTTGTCTCACTGTAAAGCAAACACAAGACGTAAACGTGAAAAAGTGAAACTTTGCGGCAACACGCTGTATTAAACGTCTCGCGGTGTGATTTACACACCCTCTACACCCTCCACGCCGGCACAGGCAGTTTTAATGCGGGCCGAGCACAGCGCAACCGGAAAACTTTCTTCTTGTTACCTTACCGAATCCTAACTTACTCTATCGAAAGTTGCACACACGCGCGTAAATAAACAGGGGGGCAGAGGCAGATAGGGGCACTCTACGTACACTCGTACACTCTAAACACCGAAATAAGTACCACTCGCGACCCTTCTGTGAAGTGCGCAACTCTTTAACTTTCAACTCCAACTTTCCGCCGGAGCAACACGCGTAAAATTTACCGAAAATATTTTTATCATCAATTTGTTTTATCCGAAATTTTCGAAACGATGCGAGGTATCAGTTTTGAATGTTTGTTGAAGTTTAGCTTAGCAATGTAAACACCTGATGGCATTTCTGCTTGCCGTGCAAACAATCAAACAACTCTTAATTGCTTAATTTACACACGCAGTGGGCAAACATTTGCCGAAGAGAAAGATACAGTGGAAAAAATCCACGCACACATAATGTAATTATCACATGGTTGAAATGAATCACATGCGCTGATGTACGACACAGAAACATTTGTGAAATGTTTTCATTGACATGGAACTAACCGAGCACAAGGTCAAGTACATTATTTGTAATTTCGCTTTGCAATTCGCGTGTGTTGTGTGATGTGAAACAAAAAATAGGAACAACAAACGTGACAAATACATGACTAGTTGAATTTGAAATGGCTTCAAAGGTACATTAAATTAATCGTAGCAGAGTCATAACAGTGTATTAAACATGGATTAACCTGGTCACGAGCTGTAAATCAGTAAATATGTAATTTTCGCGTTTGAAAGAAAACGATATTCAAGTCAAACGATTTCAGCTTGCAGCGGGTTGAAAGCGCAACAATTTGCAAACTGTACGTACCTATACACCTAATGAGGCTGATCGCAATAATCGCGCGTCCATTAAACGCGAATTTGCGTTCATTTGCGCAATATTCCGCGAATGAGCGCTAAGCAAAAATAATGCCAAACCGGCAATTCGTTAACAGGCACGCGGCGCAAAGTCGAAGCGTCCCGCGCGCGCGCTTGTTAACATTGTACATATTTGGCAAAACATGCAACAATAAAATATTTACGCGGCGCTGTGCAACGTGACGGCCGTGTGGCGGTGGCGCGCACGATAAAGGAATAGCTAGCGAATGCATAAATTTTCAATCGGCAATTAATACTCGTTGCGAACTATATTGCCAGTCAGCACGGCAAGCGAAAAACGATGCAACTATTTAGTGAATGCGATATCCGCCAGGCAACACCCTGTAGTCAATGGCAATATATTTTAATAACATTGCCACTTTGCTAGCTTTTTGATTCGCTGAAAGGACAGCCGATAAAACGGCCCGGCGAGCCGAGAATCGACTCAAAGCCACCCGCGTGCACCTGATGGCCTCTCGTTGCACTTTTCCTAATCGGCAAAAATTCGCTTTGGGTAACACCGCCAAAGGTGACAAACTAATTTCGCCAGCCGATTAATCAGGCAAAGAAATTTAATCATCACATCAGGCATGCTCGTGTGCGGTCAGCGTATGTGCAGAGTGCGCGGCCCGTCCAAAGGCACACTTAACGCAATAATCATTACGCCGCATTAACATTTACTATTTCGACGATAATGCGATAACGCGCCGATAACAGGCTCGAGTCGCTGCCGCCGGCTACCAGTCGCACTCCATCAAAAACTCGTACAACCACTACCCCGCCGAGAGTAGAAAATTATCGTCCTAATCAGTCCTTAATAAAACGCCAGCAAAAAATCGCTCATTAGAAATAAAATACAACGCGAAAAAGACGCCCGGCGTCATCATCGACATCCGAATGATATAAACTGGAAAAACTACAAAAAAGATTTTCTTCGCTATTCGCACGATTTCGTGCGTTATTGTCGTGACTCGCGCGCAGCCTTGTCGCATTCCGCCGTCAAACAAACAAGCGACAAGCGTCGACG